ATAGCCCCAGGAGCTGTAATCTTTCTCCGTAGGTCTTGGAATGTAGACCTTTGACCATCTTGGTAGCCATTCTCTGTGGATGTTCAAGTGCCTTCCGATCTCGCTGCAGCCATAGGTTACAGGCCCGAAATGAGTACTCAATGTGTGGACGGATATACGTGGCTAGCAGACGTGGGAACAAACCTGGCTCACGGAAGATTCCCATAGGAATATCAAAAGCCAAACAATATAGCGAACAAGCTTGGTTTTCGTAACATCGTCTTCAGGCCTTTACAGTTATGTGTGCGTGTTTATACCTAATGTAGAAATAAATGTGATTGGACCATAGAGGTTATGTATGAAAATGCAACAATGTCTATCAAGTTTAATCAGGACGAGTGGATAAAATGGGGACAGTGGGAGAACTATCCAAACACGATAGACTACCACTAATGACATGGAATTCAACTTTGGGAAATGCAAGTTTGTATCATTCCGTCCGTCATCGGGGGTCGCTCGGAAATCAGCCATTATCGCGGGATGCAAAACGGACAGGATCTGTGAGTTATTGTTCATGAGGATCTGGAATGTTCTAAACATAGCGCTAGAGCGTCATTAAAGACCATGAAAACAGTTGGAATACTGCGAGGTTTTTGGATCATTCGTTACAGACTTATTGCCCCGTACGCTATCAGCATACATTAGACCAAAGACTGAGTATGCTATACAAGCTTAGAATTCATGGCTCATTCACGATCAAAAAGCACATGAAACGTTCACAAGGACCAATAATCAAAATTATCAAACGGTAATAAACCTGCTGTAAAATACCTCTCGTTCAACAACTCCATTCATCTGAATACCGGCGAATATGGATGACATCAATTTTGAATATCAAATACTATTTCAATCTAACCACCCATGTAATACTCCACAAACACTATCCAGGCCAACTCAGGAGACATCCTGTTAAACTTACGCTTCAAAAGAGTCGGCTGTACTGCAGGTGTCATTCTTTCAGTCGCAGAATCCGTAATACCACCTCTTCCACGTCAAGTTGGTTGTGCATCAACCATCGATTTATTCAAATCACGACTAGATAAAGCATGGAAACACCTGACTCTGTTCAGTACTTGTGAATAAACGTTATAATTTGCTGTTTAATTGTACTACCAACCGAACCCAGTGTGTGTACGAATCCTCTGATATTCAATAAACATCAGCTTTGTTATTTACCCAAAAATAAAAATTTGAATTTGCATTCGAACCATAATCGTGGCAACAGAACGTTGCGCTATTCAAAATGTTTTGATCATACTTCTGTATTATTGTATACTTGGAAATGAAGGATTATCTTTAACGATAGACTGTCATCTCCCTTCGCGCATACACCACTTTTCGATTTCCTCCGTGAATGGAACCCACATGTATAGGTTTAGGCAACCAAAGCATGTATCACCGACCACGTCCCGCTCGGAGAGAAGAGTAAACTAGTTTAAGAGATCAGTCGAGATTCAACCCTCCCCCCGCCCACCTATCCCAGCGAGACATCAATTCCTTGCTGAATGACGATATCACCTAGCCTATCCAAAAGTTGTTCTTCGAACTGTCAGGACTGCACTTATAATACCAAGGTTTCATACACACCTGCCAGATGGC